ATATATATATGTGTGTGTGTTTGTAGAAACATACACTGTAACTGGCCTTGACATTAGCCAGAGGGTTAGATCTGATCTGGACTGACCTCACTCTGTTTTCTCTTTCTTTTTATGTTACCTGTCTGCCTCTCTGTATGTTCACCCCTATCTCTCCCTCTCACCTAACCCCCCTGTCAGGGACCGAGCTGGCAGGCATGAGGAGTCAAGGGTAAATTTTCACAAAAAGAAAATAATCAATTTACAAAATATACAAAATGTTCTAGGCCAATAAAAGAGGTCAACTAAACAGAACTTAACTCAGGCTACATTAACTGAACGAACTGAACATACTAAACCAACCAACCAAACTAACTTAACTAACTGAGACATTGGGGAAACTTAAATAGTGGCTGATCAGGCCACTCTGACACACAGGGGGAATAGACTAACACATAACATTTAAACAAACCATAATAACTTCAAATAATATCCAGATAATGCAGCATAATGCAATATTAACTAAGTAAAATACTGAAATACTAAACATCAAAAAAAGCATAATAATCAGAAATAACTAAACTCAAACAAGGAGAAATCACTGCCTCTCCCCATGATTTCGGCCAACATGATGGAGCCCAATTATCGGCCCAACCTAAGCGTCTCTGATTCTGCCGGCACTTCCTTTGTCAACCATGAGACATCCTCAGCGGCAGCACCCAGGAACTGGTAACTCAAAGAAAACTGAATTAATGCAATGAAAAAGAACCTAAATGAATGAACCTAATAATACTACCCAAAATTGGCAAAGGAAGTTCACTAATTGTGTGCACCCAAAAAGATAACGGCTGTCAAAAATGGATAATAAAACTGTATTATGAATCCAAAATCTGTTATTAAGTTTTTTTATTTATAGTGAATTGAGTCTAATGTTCTATACCTAAATACAACTAAACCTAAAGATAATCAAACAAATGAAAGAGTTACCACCATGTGATTTTGCCTCAGTGTGTGGCTGTTAGGGAGGCCATTTATTTTTTTAAATCAAACATGTTGCCAAAGCAAAAAGTCTTGTATAGAATATAGATAATACTAAATACTAATATTACAGTATAACAAATATCTAATATCTTTGTATATTTATTTTACTTCATTTTCATAGCACCACTTTGGCATATGAATATAAATTCCTCATTTGGTTCATACCGTGTATTTTTATCTGGGCTCAGATACCTTTGCTCACTCTCTCTCCATTATATTTGAAAAAACAAACGAGCCCCCATTTGTCACATTCACCCAGCCAGTTTGTGACAATACTTCCATAAATGATTTGACATGAATTGTGTCAGTAAAGTGTTGTTCAACCATGAGCCTGCAGGACAGGAATGAACACAATTCCTTCAAAAGATAGTCCCTAATTCCCTCACTGTCTGCTTTATTTTTTCTTTCATTTCCCTTTATATTCCTCATCTGTTTTTTTAGATCTTTTTTAATCTCTCTTTGTGGCTCAGCGTGTCATTCTCTCTCTGATCGCCTGCAGCAGTGTGAACAGAAAATAAAACACTCGCCTACAGTACATATGATCCCTGGACAGTATGTGTATGTTATGTGTAGGTGTATTTGTTGCATTTTCTGGCTCTCTGTAGGTGTGTATCACTTGTATGTGTCTGTATGTATGTGTGGGTGGGTGTATATAGTTCCATTATGGTTCGGTTTACACGCCCAGGTGGCCTCAGATTAACATTGATTTTCAGCTCCTGGAAACCTTTCGCTCACAAACAGCGAGCCTGCGGCGACGCTCGCCTCGACTCCCAGAGACCCCCGCTCACCCTGTGACCCCCCCCCCAGCGCAGAGCCCCAGAGCCGGGCAGTGCTACCTTCATCAACTCCCCCTCCTCCTCCTCTCCATCTCTCTATCAAGAAGTGGAAAAAACCGACTTGGGAGCGATGGCGTTTGATGTTTATTGTTGGTCTTGTTTGTGTGTTTATCTGAGCCTGAACGACTCCCTCAGTGGAAAGAATGAGATGTTTTCATGGTTTAATTGGATTATTGTGGGGAGAGAGAGAGAAAGAGAGAGACCTGAACAGACTAAGGATGGATACTCAAGCTTGTAATATGGATAGAAAGCTGCAGGAAAGAGGTGTACCTGACATTAGTTCTTCCTCTAATATACCTGATGTTGGATCAGGTGTTGAAAGAGTCCTATAAAAAGAAGTAAAATCTGAACTTCTGGACTCTGTTTCCGAAGTTTCTGGATTTTATTTGTCATTTATTTATCACATTGTAAAAAGGCAATAGATTATTTTTGAGTCTAGACCTCGTCACTCCCCACAAGGATACACCAAACTCAGCACAGTGAAGTATGTGATAATACAGTTTACAGTTAATATTTTGGCCACAATTAAATTGTGGTGTGAAAAGGCAGGACCTAAACTCCTGTCTTCAGTGTCAAAGTGTTAAGCTTTGTATAGCCAACAATGTAATTTAAGGCCATCACAATAGTGACCCTAATCAATATTTGATTTCCACATCGTATTAGTAGAATATAATCATATTTTGTTTGAGACCAGGTTGACATCCCATTATAATCCAAATGTGATTCAGAAACATACATTTGAGATAAAGTGAATGAAAGAATCTGAAGTTGAACAAGTCAATGTACAGTTATGTTGCTGTTTCTGAGCTTGAGCTGAAGCAATGGTCTTTTCTTGTTCACCAACCACAAAGAATTCCACTCCTCCTCCCTCATTTTATATCAATTTTTAAACTGACACCGTCCTTTCTCTTTCAATTGAGCCTCCAAAGCCCATCTGCAGAGTAAAGTATGATGGTGGGCAGTTACTCACCTAAATTGGCCTGAATGTGCGGTTTAATGCTGGAAGCTGTAATGGGATTGTCTGACTCAATGTCTGATACTGAGAAAAGACATTTCAGCCACAGCTGGAGGCAGACGCAGAGTCAGCTGTGATGGATGTTTTAAAGTGTACGCCTTCATCTTGCCTCGTAGGACACGCATTATTGCCAATGAAAAGCTTTAAGGTAGTTTAAAATAGTTATCAGTGGCAATTGGACAACCATGTAGGACAGAGGAAGGGATTTTTTTATAGTCATTTACAAATCCTACGCTTGGCCTTTTCCTATTTTCCAGAGGCAGCACGTTCATTACACCACACTATACAAAAGCCTTACCATTTTTTTTCTGAG